AACTTTAAAAAATTCGTATCTTCTCAACGAAAGGCTTTGGAGAGTTGGAAGTGGTCTTCTTTTGTAGAGGACACGTTACTCTATAATGCACAATAGTTAACTCAAAAATAAAAAATATGTCTAAAAAAGTCTAAAAAAAGAGGAGTTACCGTTAATTTTCTTTCACGGTACGCAACAGAATTTGATAATATATACACCACTAGATAGAGGAAGTCTTCCTCTACAAACCTACATATATCCCGTTTTATGGTCCAAATTCACCGTGAAAGTCACAGTCGCCTTTTAAATTTTTTTAAAAAGATTTCTCAGTTAGAGACTTTAAATTAAAATTATTCTCCTAAAACTTTTTTATTTTAGTTGCTGAGGAGGTCGGATTCGTAATCAGCGCGAGAAACTGCATCTAGTGATGCGCTCATATCGGTCCTCAGATAATAAAAAAGTTTTAAAAACTTAACCGGCGAAGTATCGTGTTAAGTGCAGCCGTTAAAGTCTTGTTTTCTCGACGCAATCCTCCGAACAACTGTATAAAAGCTGAGTTGCCGGATGCTATAATGTTACACTGTATATAACAGTACACGATACACCGGCCGATTTATCATCATTATTGTTTTCTAAATTAACATTATCTTTCATGAAATTCTTAACTTTCAATATTCTACTAGTAATCGAACATAATTCTTCCAGCATCATATCATTGCTAGGTAAGATTTTCAAACAAAACTAGACTCGATGAAAACTACATTTTCGGCAGAGGATAGTCGATTGTATATTTATCCATTAAAATTGGCTCGGGGTACTGCCAGTAGAGAACCCAATAATTTTTCAAACAACAAAAAAAACGAAAAAAAATATATAATGACTCAGCAGGAATTGAACTCAGACCGTAAGAATAATAATCTTTCTTTCTACCCTGTCCATCGAGCAGGTCTGTACTTTATATTGTCCTTTTTCTTATTATATTTCAGATAATGAGAAGAAAATGAGTTCTTATTATTGACTTTTTGCCAGGATCTTCAGAAACATATGCAAAAATTACCTAAGCCAGAAAGAATTTTGAATCTACTCGAATCTTGCAGTCTCATGACGGAAACTGAGAGAAATTGAGTTTTTTTGAATATGTCCTTTTATGTATAAAAGAAAACGCGCAAATGGACGTCAAAAACATTGTAATGAGCTGTCTATTAAATGCTAGTTAATAAACGACATTTTTAGATAACTGATACCATTTTTTGACCAGTTTTATACATTAAAACATATTGTGTTAAAAAAAAACGATAACCTTGTAAGATTTTTAAGGAGAAATATTTATTAGTCGAAAAACATATTTGCTGATTTTATAGTACAAAATATACATGAATATGGAGAAGTACAATTGTATCCAGCATAATTAGCACAAACGTGCTTTGTACATTGTGAACAAGGTATGAGATTGTTTGACTGATAGTGACATTTATAACACTTTGGTATCGAAGTAGGAAACAAGAACGTATTCGCTGTTGGGTCAGAAAGAGTATAAGATTAAGTAGTAGTAGGTAGTGAATAATAGTTGGGGTAAGATGAAGATGAGTGAGAAAGTGATGGAGCAGCAGATTGATTGGTAGTTAGTACATTAGCTGTAGAGAAACTCGGAAAACCTAGAATGAATTCAGTATTAACACAAAAGTAGATTTTGATCGGGTTGAATGCAAACCTGACACATTGTTCCATGGATCAAATGAAGTAGGAGGAAGATTAGTAGTATTTAGTGAAGATTGTGCAACAGTCAACGACGGTGTATAAGTTGAAGAAACAGGAACAGTCGGCAATGTGGAATAGACCATCGAAGAAGTACTTGCTGTTGTAAGTATTAACGCAGCTGTTGTCATAATTCACGTAGTCGAAAGTGTATTAATATCAGTCAATTCTGAAAAGTCACAACAAAATAACCTTTGGAGTGTCTCATTCTGATTCGAACATACCGTGAATAGTGGTCAGTATTTTCTTTTGTTTAGTTTTTGTAGTTGGAGGTTTGAGTGTTTGTGTTGTAACTCGTTTCGCTTTCAGGGCACGTTCTTCTTTCTCTTTCAGTTGTTGTAGAACTTGTTCATCTGTTAATAGTTGACTAGCTTCTCTTTCAAGCACTATTTTTTTCGCAGGTGGTTGTTCTGTAGCTGATGGTCTAATCGAGCAAAGGGTACGTCGAATGGTTCTCGTCGGACTAGATGGTAGTGCTTTAGAATATGTAATTTCAAGTGATGATTTCATTGGGAAAGACAAATCTAGGGGAACATCAGCTTAAATAGGAAACGTTCTTAGAAGTTCTTTAACAGAAACTTATGTATGACTTACATTCACGGTCCCAATCGCTTGTATTTATTGGCGGCAGAGGTCTGGAGGATTCTCCACTCTTTAAAGGTGATAGATGAATATTTGAATGAGAAGTGACTTAAGTGAAAATTTTACCTTACCATTTCCTTCGTCCCATCAACTCGTATTTAAATTGGGTTTCTTTGAAACAACAGTTGATGATACGTGTTTTAAAATATAAATGTGATGAGTCTAATGAAATTAATTAAACTTTTCCTATTTCTTACCTGTCAATCTCGACGCAATAGGTATATTATCTTCTTCATCATCATCATCGCTTGAATCAATTGAAGTTTTTGGGTGTTTGGGCAAAGCAATATCCTTTTCAATTTTATTGTTGCATTTCAAAATTTTTGCAGAATTAATCGACATTCTATCAAGTGGATAAATACCCGTATTCATAAATCCCTTGATGATGTTGACTTTTCGAACAGCGGACGAATTAACTAATTTCTTCAATAGTGTTGGAAAAATATCTTTTGTGACGTTTTTGTATCATGATGTTCTGTAATATTCACTAAGAATTTCTCGATATTTTTGCTTGATTGGTTTGAAAAATGTGACGTCGAGGGGTTGAAGGACATGAGTTGAATGTGGAGGTATGCATAATAGAAGAATATCGTTTTCAATAGCCAATTCGACTTTGTATTGTAACATGCTTCTGCCGGTCCTAAAACAAGTGAATTGTTGAAAAACGCTAATCACAAGAAAAAATGGAATCACCATTAGTGCAGCATGTATTATATAACTTTTTAGACTTGTGTAGACGTGTAAGGTGGCAGAATTACCCCCCTCGCACTGAAACAAAGCAACACTGAATAATAACATTTTCCACAGGTACCACCTTGTTTCTTGCAAGGAAATTTGGTGGGATTTGGTACAATTACTTTTTTTGTATCAGTTTTGTCGACAAAACCAGTTTCATCACAATTGAAAACTTTAGTAGGCTTATCCACCAAGTTGTTAGAAGTCATTATCTTGTTCATCATATTAAACCACGATATCCAGAAAATCTCTCGTTGTTACTGGTTCACCCCACTCCTACCAAAAACTCATCAAATTAGACATTAGAAGCACTACATGAGTATAGTATGACTTACTTGTAAAACAGTAACCGCACCAACTAAATATGTTTCTTCCAAATCAGTAAAGTGTGTAGCTCGTCCAGGACCCTTATACCAGACTTGCGCAGTATGATGCTTTTGTAAAGCTGTATACGGAATATTGAATTTCTTTGATGTTACACGAATATTAGCTTCGAAAGAGACTTCTTGTAGAGCAGCTGTTAAGTCATTGTCCGAATATACAGGCCTATGACCCTTCTTAATGTACGTTCGAGGCATGTAATAGTTTATTGGAAAGAATAATGATAATGGTACTGATTCCATTCTTTTCATTATATTTATAGTCGATTGTTAATATTTCGAGATAAAGCAGCATTTTTCTCATCTCTATTAGTGCTCAAAATTCTATTAGTCTTTTCTCCGTTCAGCATTGTTTAAAATAACGCTCACGAATTTTTCTGAACAGTTATTATTCAGTTAATCAGTCAAAATTTACAACAGTTTTGAGATTAAATTAGGAGAAGTAATTAATATTAATCAAAAACAACTTACAAATCTAATGCCATTCCTTCCCTTACAGACATCACTATACATGGCAACCACGAGCACAGCTTGGCTCTGTGTAATAGAATATGTTTCTCGACTAATAAATATTTCTCCTTAAAAATCTTACAAGGTTATCGTTTTTTTTAACAAAATGAAGAACTTATATACGTGATCTTATCATTGAAATATCATTGATTTGGCAAATAATATAGGGTGATCAATTGCATTCATAGGCGCAAACGAGACCTTGAATGTAGACTAATTTTTAAAAAAATTAGTGCATGTTGTAGAGCAGATACTAACGTATCTGGATATCTCCACTTTTTTCTCATGTCATTACTAACTAAGGCTTTAACTTGATTACGTTTATAATTTTAATGAGAGCAAATATGTTTAAAAGCAGCACTATTAATTTTATGCCCATTAGTGGCCGAAAAGATTCCCTTCTCTGTCAAATTTAACATGAATTTTTTCAAAAAATGACTATTTCTTTCTTTTCACGTAGTTTCTCATTAATTAATTAAAGAAAGGTGGTCTCAACTTCTCAAACACATGGTTGGAAAGTGCTCAAAATTCTCTACAAGATGAGCTACTTTTTAATTAGAAAAGTGAATATTCACCGTTGAGCAAAAGTTGTTTTACTTTGCACCTACCGTTTCGGTAGCGTTGATTGGAATTCCCCTAGTGAGAGAGGTGTACTGATTGGAGGAATTTCGATCACCAGCCGATATGGGGCTGGAAAACTCACAAAACTAATTAACCAAAATGAATTTTTAGGAAATGTTTAAATGAATAGATAGCTAAGACTCGCATCTATCTATCTATGCAATAGGAGTTTTTTCCGTTCTAAAATAGCTTTATGCTATCAAAAATACTACAAAAATTTAAACCACTGATCGGAATTACCCCAAGTTACTCTATACTTGATGTTATATCTGATTTTTAGATTATCGTATTATCATGTCGAATTCTACTCTTGAAACAGTATCAACTCGTCGAACAAAAAGCATTCTTTTAATTGTATTCCAGCTTCCATCACTATGTTGTTCATTATTTCTATTCTATTATTTGATAAAGAAACAACAGCAACCACACTTTTATCAACGCTTGCAAAACCATGTTATAATTTGCATTTCAATCGTTAGTTTTTTAATTTGTTCGACAGAATTACCCATAACACTATCTTTTCTCTATAATGGTTATATTTATCCATCATCAGAGAGTTTCTGTTTATTTTGGATATTTTGGAATTATTGTCTAAATGCACACATTTCCTATTTCATGGCATGGGCATCGATTGAACGGCATCTTTTGGTATTTAAGGATTCTCTCATAAGACTTGAACATCCATTTTTATTACATTATTTGCCAATTCTATGTTGTTCGATCTATGCCATTGTATGGTATGGTTCGTTAATCCTTTTCTATCCGTGTGAAAATCAGTTTAATTATGCAGCTTACATATGTGGTGGTTCATGTTATCGTTATAAAAGATTTCTACGAAATTTCGATTTGAGTCTAAACGTTTTTGGTTCAACTTTGATTATAGTTGTAGCCAATATTTCGTTAATGATACAAATTTTGTATAGAAAACATCAATTGAGACAGACACAGATGTGGAGAAAAAATCTTAAAATGATTGTTCAACTCACAGCAGTCTCATTTGTATTTCTCATTGCATGGATACCTGTTGTTCTCTTATCAATGATACGGTTATTATGGGATAAAAATTTTTTACAATATGTAACAACTGTTTACGTGATTTACACCCCGTACATAAGTGCACTGTTAACACCATTCATGTGTCTTCTTGGAATATCAAGTATACAAGAGAAACTATTCAACAGAAATAACAGAATATATATGCCACCCGTAGCTTATAAACCAAACTAACTACAAAAATGCTGAGCATTTCGTTCGTTAATATGCCGCCGTCATTTCACGTTTACATGAAAAGTTCTACATGCTGTACAAAAGCGTACCCAAAGTGCAGCATGGTTCACAAGAAACTTGACATCCAGTTTATCTCTTATTTATATGGTTTAATTGAACCATATAAATAAGAGATATCCCCCGCTGATCTTATTTGGCTTTTTGTCTATGGTGGTACAGCTCGTACTCACTCGATCTATTAGAAGAGAAAACTCGGAAGAAAATTTTTTCGAATTTCCTAGGCCGAGAGCATGACGAATGCAGTTTTTACCTGGAAAATATAAGAATTTTTAATATTAAAAAGTTAATGAATAAAAACCACAAAATGCTCATCACTTTCGATTAACATAACCCCTAGAGCTAGAGGGTATCTCATTCTGATAAAAAATGCTTGTTTCTAAAATGCGACTTTAACAGAAATACTTTTAGTTTAAACTTTAACGGCTTTTTCCCGTAAAAATCTTAAAAACAAGGGGTCTTCTATTTCAACTATTACATCAAGAGGCCGAAGAGAGTCTTCTAATATGACAATCCCTTTAGACGAAATATATACTCAAACAAAAGAATTCTTCTGCTTTAGCATGTGAATATATAAATAAGAGGAGTAACGACCGATCAATGAAAATATGTTTTGAAACGCTCCCTTAGTCTCAATCTAATTGATACATTTTGACAGGCACATACGAAACTGATTAAGAGCTTATCAACAATCTTGCATACTTGTACTCTACGGAAATAAAATTTGTACACGATTTATACTCGGATAATTTTACACGTATAAATCCTTATACACCTATTTATGATGGCAATAGAAAGTACATAATTTCCTTATGCTAGCTGTGATATTGACAGCTCTTTTATATTATATTCTAAAACATAACTCGACACAGAGTACAAGTTGGATGCTTCAAACTGGCGGTAAAATCAGAGAGGGGTACATTCTAGTTTATTTTATTTAGTCTCTAAAATTGGCAGAATCAAGAGTAATATCATGGTAAGTGAAGCGAACATTTGCTGAAAAATATAAAATTTCTTCGTTTCTCACTTTGTTGATGTTTCTTTCATTTTGATCACGTTTCTTCTGTACGCGTAAGTTATATAGATGGACATAAAAGACAAGGAAGTAAGAAACCAATGAATAGAGTTCTATTGTAGAGCGTAAATTCGTCTTTTTCTTGATGTGGCATGCAGAATCTGTATGTGGGACATATATGCATCTTGTCGTATAAAGAATTTACGGTCTACGATAGAACTCTAATTTTATATTTTCATAGAATTATGCATATAACAAGACAGCATTCACTATGAAATTGCCCTTAATTATGTCAACTTTACAACTTAAAGTAAAATTAAATAGAATATATTTAACTGGTGTTTCACTTCCATCTGAAGTACATAAAGTATATTTCATGCACACATCAGCTTTAGCGAATTAAATTGTTTTTATTAAAGTTTTTTCTTTACACCTAGCCGTTAAATCACTTAGATCATTTGAGCAGGGAACTGCAAATCTAATTCAATATTAATATTCGTACTGTGTATAACACAGTCAAATTACAAAGATATTTTTTCTTTCAGTTTCTTCACACTCTCTCTGATGATTTTGCTTGTAATTTCCTCATATGAAATTTACTTGATACTTACTGATTAGTGTTGTACACAGAGAGTAAGAGAAGTATGGCCAGTAAATCGCTAACACCATCTAGCTAACACGACTCGAAGAGAAAGCTGAAAAATCATAATGATCAAAAAGAGTTAACTGTCCTGTTTCAGTAACAGAACTTTGAACAATTTATCTATAATGCGTTAATCCTAGATGAATAAGATTAATTGTGTGTACTTTATAGAGTTAAATATGAAAGAAGCTGTTAGGAGTTGTTCCACTTACAATTAAATTTTCCTTTCTAAAAGACATAATGAATAAAGGTGAAAGTGAATTAAACCTTCACTTATATGATATTAATATTCATTACACTTCATTCATCGTTAATCATCCCTTATTCATTTTTATTTTCAAGAACAATAGATCGTAAGTAAATTTTATTTTTACGCATGTCAAAAAATACTTATAAAATAGTGATCGATACTTCAGATCTACCAGCATCGAGCAATAAGCCAAACGAACAATTAGATGTAATTCCTAATCGAGCAAAATTATTCCTCGCTAATAACAGCAAGAATGTAATGGATAACATTTTGAAAAAGAAATCCAGTAATGTCTTCAGCAGCAAGTAAAAAAGCCCAAAAAGGTTTGACAGTGTGCCAATATAAACCAAAAGATGTTACTATTCTTACAAGTCTTTTGGACAAGGCTTCAAAAATGAGGAAGTTTGTCTAGTTTTTAATGGTGTGTTTGGCTTGCAATAAATCTTTATGATCCCTTGAAAACTTTCTACTTAGTAAAACTGCTACTGCGACACCTTGTTTGTCTTTTATCAGGATCTCTTTCTTTTGTTTTGAAAGTGTGTTTCAAAGCTGATTATGATTAGTCCTACTCTGGCTACCTGAAATCACTCCTCCATATGAAAATATCAGATGAACAATACTCATGAGTATTTTGCCGAAAGTGGTATGAGTACTCAACAATACCCAAGCATGAGTACTCAAAGTCGTACTCAGAGTACTTGTTACTCACTCATGAGTACTCAGATGAGTACTCAGTGAGTAAAAACATGTATGAGTACGTATGAGTACTCGTCCGGTTTTTCTAGCAGAGTACTTTTTGAGTACTCACACTTGAGTACATTCACTAGGGTATGTACTAGAACGGTTTACAGGAATAAATTTAGGCAAAAATAAAC